TTTTATTCGTTATTCGACTCTAGTTTTCTTCCGCTTGATCTGGTGAGACGATAATATCTCTGTGTTATCATCGTTTAGGCTCTAGGTCATGGTTTTCATGTCTTGAACAAACGATGTTAGCAGGGAAGTAAGCGGTTTCACATGAATTTGAGGAATTTTCGCTACTTCCGTGGATGAGGTCATTCTATGCGGTTGCCTGTCTCCCTAAAGGATGCTTTTCCATGTTCAGTATAGATCTCTGGGGTGACGAGTTCCGTAGCTGAGTTCCCATGCGCGAATTTCTTTAGCCGCAATGTTGTGCTTCTATTTTTGGTTCTGTCGTATTGCCGGATTCATTGTTCTTGCAGTACGGACATGTCGTATTTTGACTTTTTAGCTAACAGCACCTCATGATTATTCGATAATACCTATGAATTCTTGAAATGCCTCGCAGATACCGTGTTGAAAAAAGTTTAGACGACGTTCATGGATTTCCACGGGACCATTGTACAAAAGGATGAAGATGACTGAAGAAGCAAAAGTTTTTACTTTATTATCAGATTCATGCCTGGTAACACGGAGGTTTTTAATAAACTTTAAGACGCTGCATTGTAAAGAGTTATCTCTTTTGCGTGGCAATGTTTGCAATTTGTAAGCACCGGTATTTGGAACGATCAGTTTCTGCCAAACAATTTCTAAGATCTCTCAGCTTTTCTTTTCGTCATTATCATCCCCTCGGTTCAGTTGAAGGCTTACTTATTTGGGGGCGTGATCCCACAGTGCCGTCGACGGCGATTGTAAACTCCAGAGGGCCCAGGTTTCAATCCACTCAAAGGACAGTCTTTGTCCTAACCGCTAGTTCCCTTGAGCAAGGAATTGACCCCGCGTTGCTTCTGCGCTACCAGTCGAGAAACGGGTAATAAGTGTTGACTTGCGACTTATAAAGACAGTGTGGGATTCTGGTTGGGTCGTGCCTTAATAGCCTAAGCGTACGACCATGCGCTTCGATGCGAGCGCCCCTTGTGACCGCACTTTTCCTTGATCCACCTCGTCGCTGACTATCCAGTGTAATAATCAACACAATGTGCAACCCTGATTTCTGTTTTTGTACTCTTTCTGTAATGATTTGAACTGATTCTACTAAGGGTGTTTGCCCGCTTTCAAAGTCGCGTGGCAGAATGTGGTCGTCTTGAGAGTCAAGGGTGACTTTATTCATGCATAGGTAGTACTGAAATAATGTAACTCTCCTGCACTTGGCAAAGAACAGAATTTATGTATGTCCAGGCTCTACGCTATGTCTCTGAAGCGTTTTGCAAACATCTGTTCGTGTTCACGTTTGGACTACCGCTGAATTTAAAGATTTCTGCCGTCCACGGTTTAATTTTAGAGTAATAAATATTTAGGCCAAATAATCAGTGGCACCTGCTACTCGTCTGAAATGCTCTTTCCTACAGTATGCATTATAAACTTTTCACACTTGAGCGTGACTTTTTTGTCTCAGTGGGTAGCTGATGTGTGGAATTTTTTACTTTTATCGGCTTATTGCGTTTTTTTGTTTTTCAGACTCAACTGAAGAAGAAAGCATTTGGCAACGAGACGGTAGGAGAATTGATTGGAGCGGGATTCCTTTGGGGCTGATCAGAAACCAGTGTCCAAATTCGCTGGACTTGAGGCTCCATGCCGCCACCAGTACGTCACCCAGCGATAATCCAGTCAATGGAACGTCCCCTACCCGTAGTGTCGATTCGTCGCATGACATAGAAAATATCACCTGTGTTTCGTCGACAAGTGCATAGATTTCATTAGAATAAAAGAACACGTTCCAGCACACTACGACAACATGTTCAATTCTGATGCACATGAAATGTCGAATAGCACAGCAGTTGCTTCGACCGAATGAGCCATACTATTTAAGCTGCAGTTTGCCACAGAAACAAGACGCTGATTAATATCTTTGACTAAAATAGAACAAATGACTACTGCTTAAGTGGCAAGTGGCACCCTTGACATTTAAAAACAGAGTGATGTCATAATTCCCAGACTGGACTCTGGATTGGTTGAATAGTGAACTAGTCAACGAACACCAGACGTATGAACGCATATTTTGGATGTTGTTGCAAATCATGTAAACATTAGGTATTTGCATCGGTCAAAGCAATGATGGATGTCTAAAAAATAAAAAGGAATTATGGAATTATGTTAATTGCCGTATCCCTGGCTTTTCAATTCATTTTTTGTAGTTGTTGATAGAGCATATATCCCTTCTTCTAGACGCGAGAGATTTGTCTTTTGTCCATTAAAGACATATATTGATACCGTTGATCGTTGGCCTCGTAGATGACAACCTCATTATTAAAGAGTATGACGGCGATTACGTGCGCCGTATGTATAATAGAGAATTGATTTATTGTGCTTCGTGATATACGGGAATTATCATTGCCAAGTCTTGACTCCCATATTTATGTCTCGTGTGGCTTCTCTTCACAAGCTTCCATATCTCTTTTAGCTCATCGTCCCATCTGACTCGTCTTCCTGTTGGCGCTTGCAGCCAGTTATTTACCAGTACGTCGATGTTGAAGTTTATCGGTCGTGCTATGAAATCTGACTTTAGCTGTGCGCGGAGACTAGGAGCAATTTGCGCTTGTGCTTTCCATTTATTTCGATCTTGGTACATGGTTTTGACTAATGTTCAAGCCAGCTCTTGTCTTTGACAAAAAGAAGGTCCATTTGTCCTTCACCCCGAATTCTAGGTGGTAGCTCTGTGAAGTTTTGTCTGCTTGGAGTTTCCGGTGAGCTCGGGCGCAGCCACAACTTCATCGGGGCTTTATCTTCCACACCATGATTAGTGGGTAATAAAAAGTACTAAGGAAGTACTGAATACTTGTTTGATTATTACAATCAATAAAAGGATAGTTCCTTAAACTATTAGCTGCTTTGATGTCCATTTTTGACACGGGAATACTGAAAATTTGAACCGTTTCATTAAGGCATAGTCCGTAACATCGTAAGATAAACAATAGCCTTATTATTCGTATTATGGTATCAAAAACTAACCGGCAAATATGAGGAATAGAATACTTGGAGAGCAGTAATGCATACCGATGAAGGCTGAATACCGGCAATAATCGTAACAGAAGGGCTAATGTCCTTGAACATAAAACTGTCATAGTCTGAAGAACCTTCACCTGCAAAATGGTGGATGTGCATGAACCGCGTTCCAAAGGATCAACAAGTGTCGACCGTATCACCAAGGACGTAATTAAAGCAGAATCAGTGTCTGAAACACTAAACTGCTGAAGGAACGTTTGCAGTTTGCAGTTATGAGTTAAATAGTCATACCACTAATGAGATTCTGTGAATCAAAGCACTATATGACTGATTCATGTGGAATAAACTTAACACGTGTCCACTCCCGTTGCTAGCGAAACACTGGCTATTGCACAAATAGACATCGGCGGCATGCATAGAAACCTGCGTTTCATAGGATTCCTTAACATCGTCAAAGCACGTAAAACAAATTCAAAACA